TGTCTGACAACTTTTTTCTTTTTTTTTTTTTTTTTTTTTTCTTTTTTTCCCCCCCTGCTCTTAAATAATATTTCATGGTGCATTAAATGGGTTCTGCAGTCTCTTCCTAAGAGACCCAAGCAACGTACTGCTGCAGACTTAATGTTTTCACCCAGCAGCTAGTTTTTAAAAGGAAAAAAAGCCGAAGGCAGCCTGGAATCCTTCCCTGGGCCTTTTCTCAGCTTGTTCCTAATTTGATAAGGAATGGTAATAATTGGGAGACAGATACAGAAAGAAAAAGAAATATTATTTCCCAATAAACCTCTTAGGGTGTCATTTGCGATCACGGGCAGATACCAGAAACGTGACTCATTAAATCCACTGAACGTTACTTTTTCAGAAGTCGAAATGTTTCTGGCCAAACTGCTTCCTCGATGGTTGTTTCGGACGAACCAGTTCGAGCCGGGGCAGCCCGAGGAGAGAAGGAAACAATTCAAACATTCACGTATTTGATTCTTGATAGACATCTCTACAAGGTAGGTAGGTTTTAACATATTTTTTTTTTTCTTCTTAAATTTTTTTTTGGGGGGTGGTTTTTTTTTTTTTTCCCTTCTCTCTCTTTTTTTTTTTTTTTTTTTTCAGTAAGAAGGATAAGCTTGGAGTGCCCAGTCACCGTGGTAACTGCCAGAAAAATTCTCCTGAAGTTTGAAGAGGTCAGCTAACGGGGTCAACAACTCTGGCCTCTCCCCGCGCTGGGGCTGGCAGGCTCCATCCTGCGGCTGGGGTGTTAGCGCAGGCGGAGCCCTGGGAGGTGGACCATTCCAGCTCTGATATAAATTTTTTGAGTCAGTTCACGGCCTGGACTCTCCAGGTGGCCTCCAAAATCGATGGTGACCCCGTGACCCTGTCTAACGGAGGCATAGCATCCAACCTAAGTAAGGATTTAGCCAGGAACGACAGCTTTCCACTGAGTGTTATTGGGGACAGTACAAACAGTTTGGGAAGCGAGGAGGTAGGTATGAGGAGCAGAGGTCATTAAAAGCATATTAAAAAACAATTTTAAAAATCCTCGTTAGTGGAAAGTTTTTATTAGCGGTAACCGTTCCTTAAATAAACTCTTCTGGCAACTATTTTTTTTCTTCCCTAACAACAGAGTATCAAGTGTTTCAGTGCGTTAATATATGAAAAATCGGCACTTTATGTGTTCCAAACCACATTAATGTTTTATCTACCCCTGGATTTTGAACTTATAAATGAAGGGGACAGACACGTGTTAAACCAGATGCCTGAGAAGCACGTTTTTTTTCCTTAGTATCATAAAACCCAGGAGGCTGCAAATTAAAGCAGGTTGTTTATTTTAGGAAGTAACCTCTCTAATATGTGCATTCTTTTTAGATTCCAAGGGCTCTCAATCTGTGTAATTTTATTTTTAAACTGGGAAATGAAGTAACATTAGGAATAGTGGGGAATGGAAGTGTGAGAGTTTCACAGGCGAGTTCCTTCACTAATTTGCAACACAAATAGAGAAGCCACAAACGTGGTTAGGTGTTTTTGTAGTAGATGATTGTGGTTATGTTAAGATGATATTTATAAAGGATATAATATTTTTTCCTGTAACATTTTAAGCAACAACCCATGTAAGGGAGGGAGAGGCTGCTGCAGGGGTCTGATTTTGTCATCAAATCCAGAAATTTGCCCTTCTGAGCAAGTGGTTTTGCTCTTGTGTTTTATTCCTGCTCCTACAAAACCTGCTCTCCATGAGCGATGGGGGCTCAGCAGATGGGAGCAAAGCCCACTCTCCCAAGGTGGAAAACCCTCTCAGACTTCAAGCGACTTAAAACCTGCTCCAAAGGAGGAAAAATTGCATTCATGTTTGCTCCTGGGTTTAGAAAAATTATGCAAATTTATCCCAGCAGGAATTGTGCCCAAACATTTCTCGTGGCTCTGGCATCCTTCCTCCCAGCCCCTCACCTGGGGAGCAGCTCCCCAGAGATTGGAGGGGGCTGCAGGGAGGTGGGGGCTATTAAATACCCCTCGGGATGAGGGTCTGAGCTGCTCTACATCCCAAATATCACTGTACCCCTGAGGGGTCCCATGGCTTCCAACAGCGAGAGCCTGGAGCTTTTAATTGGGGTAACACCTCGTTCTGCAGGAAGCCCCCCCAAACCCATGGATGCTCCTTGGCCAAGGCTCTGCATCTCATGGGGTTGGCATGGTCTGCTCCCCAGGGTTATTTGAAGAGAAGGAGATCAATTATGAGGAGTAGGAGTTGGGGGGGCCAGACCTGTGTCCTGAAATGATTCAGGGCCCAGAGCTGCACATGGAGGTCTCAGTGGCCACTCTCTACTTAATTCCACCCTAAATCCTGACCGTACTTTGTTGTCGCTGTGGGTTTTTAACAGAAGGAGGCTGAGGATGGATGGTTCGTGTTGGTGAGCGTGGTGGGTCAGGGGGAGCCTGGTGTGACCGAGCCTGGTGAGACACAGCTCACAGCCCTCACCGGGGACCAGCACATTCGCTGGGTTTTCCAAAAAAAAAGAAAATGTTTTAAAATAGGAATTGTGAGCAGCTGGAAGGTGAATCCTTGGTATTTTCAAAAGCAGCTGTAGAATTTTTAGCAGCTTTTTTTTTTTTTAAAAAAAAACAACAAAACCAACCCATATTTGTATACCCTTTGTAACGTGAGTATTCAGTGCTCCAGTGCTGACCAACAGGGGATTGCTTCAAAAACATGATACTTCTGTTCCATTGGAACTTTTGGACCAAAATTGCCCCAAACTTTCCCCAAAGCCTCGGGCTGGGAATGAGGCAGCAGCAGCAGAGGGAGCGACCGGGGCGTCTTGGGAGCCTTAACTTGCTGCAGAGTCTTGTTGGGTTGATTTCTGTGAATCCTATTGAATTAATAATCAACTGCAAAGCTACAAATGTCACTAAAAACAGGTCCCAGGGTGGCAGTTACTACATCTCTTCACCTTTTGCAGTTGCTCATCCCCACAACATTGGGGGTGCGAATGCCTGGAGGTGCGTTCGGCCGCCGTAGCTGCAGGGGGACTCTTCTTCTTCCTCATCCCCTTCCTCTCAGCTCAGTGCTCACTCGGATTGATGTGATTCCTTGGAATATTTCCCGAAGAACAGGCTCTTTTAGCCTTAACAGAGTGATATATATGAGTGGGTTTAATGTAGTGTTGGAGATGGATGCTCAGAAGCACCAAAGGCTGGTGGTTCCCGGCCTCTCCCGTATGGATCACCCCACGAGGCCCTGGCAAGCTTGCTGCAGGTGCTCTGTGGAAATGTATGAAATAATAATAATAATAATGATGATCATAGCCTTCAATAAAAATTAGGATGAGAGGAGTTTGTGGCAGTCTGCAAGAAAATCTGAGGGCTGGGAGCTCTTGCCTGGAAGCTCTGAGGATGCCGGCTCTACGGGAATGTGCTCAGCCCGTGGGGCACGAGGAGGTATTTTGAGAATGTTTTCAAATTAAATACACGTCCAGTTAAACAAAGGCACTTTATTACACACGCAAGCAAGCAAAACAGCAAAAAAAATTCCACTTCAAAATACAATAAAAGTAATAAATGAGCAGTGAGGCCTCAGCCCAGTTTGTGTTTGCTCCGGAGAGTGGCAGGTTGTCCCAGTGTGGACCAGGGCAGGTTGTCCCAGCATGGACCAGGGCTAGCAGAGGTCTGTGCTTTCTGAGGGAGCCGGGAGGACAAGGGAGCACCTTGCAGTGCCCTGGCAGAAGGTCCTGAACAAGCACCACGTTTCCTTCTCCTTCTCCCTGCTCGGAGTGTGTTGCGTGGCTGGGGCAGAGGAAAAGTCAAACTAATTCCGATGCTTTCCCCATCTTCTGGGTGGACTAAGCCAGAGGAAGCCCTTACGGCAGCCTTTGTGGAAGGGTTACAATATAGGTTGCTACTTCAGGAGCTATAGGAAGCTCTTAATCCTTCCCTGCCTACAGGACTGTCATTTATAGACTGGCTGTTGTTTCATCCTTTCTAGGGCTGGTTCCTTACATGAAGGTTGCAGGAGCAACCAGACTTTGCCATTGCTCCCAGCTATTGCACTTTGTGGCTTAATGCACATCTAATATTGTGTTTGTGCAGACAGTACCTGCGCCCTGGCTTGGGTGACTTCACTCTCAAAACAGTCATTTCTGTGTTTCTTTCTTTTTTTTTTTCTTTTTCTGTTTTATCTGTGCATCTGGATTTTGCACCAGCCTAGTTTATCACAGGTAGCATTCTGCAGCGGGTGGAACTCAATGCATTCAGTGGGTCATTCTGTGTCCAGTTCTTGTTTGATGAGCAGGTGCATCTTCTTATAAAATAAAGCTTCCATGTGTTGTTTCTCCACCAGGTTAAATCCGTTTTATAAAAAAAAAAAAAAAATCTCTTACCATATAACAAGAATAAGCAGACAAAATGGAAGCCTAGATTATTTTGGATGTATAAAATTTAGCTTGAGGTTAGTGGTGGTTTAATGACAGGAGGTTTTTTTTTTTTTTTGCAATGGCTATTCATACAGACGTCCATTGTTTTCTGCTTTGATTTCTCTCCAGCTGGGCCCCCTTCGGAACCCCATTTCTGGCAATCTCAGCAACACGTGGGGCTCTGGCAGCTTCTGCCGACGTTGCCATCTTCCCTCCACCGCTCCTTCTCCTGCGTGGCGTCACCACCTCCCCAGCCAGGAGCCCCAAATTTCGCCTTTCCTCCATCACCTGCCCCACGGCTCTTCCAGAACCGGATGCTTTTTTGTCCAAGTTGTTTCAAACCCCTCTAGAAACAGACACTGAAATGAAGGCAGGTGATGGGGGGAGGTTGGGACGTTGCCTTCCTGCCCTGGCCACATCGCTGACCTTCCCCAGCGCTCGGCTCTTTGCCCCTAGAATAAGAATAATAACAACAAACTTTTAGCAAAGTGCTTTTTTAGATGTCTGAAAGATGTCAGGCCGATTAAAAGCTACTCAGATTTTTTTTGTCAGGCCTAACTCTGTCTTACACTCCCCACTGCTGTCTTTCAGCTGCTGCAGATTTGCCCGACGAGCCTTTTTTTGGGGCAGGTCCCTGCTTCGTGCCTCGCGCCATTTGGGCTCCTAAACCACCAGAAGAGGTTCCTCTGGCTGGTGAGTTGCTCCCGTAGTTTCCCGTTATGCAACCCCTCTCCTTTTTGTGAAGCTGTGAATTTTACAGCTGTCAGTGTCAGCAGCAGTGAGGATGGGGATGGGGATGGGGAAGGGGGGGGACGGGAGAGCAGGGGGGTGAGCGGTGGGTTTTCCTTTTTTTTCTGGCAAGCTGGCATTACTCATCAGTCTCATGGTAGTTTTGTTTGAAAAATGCTTGTGTTAGAAAAAGTGGATTTATCAGCTCAGCACTGTATGGTGCGAGCCCGCAGCACAACAAAAGACAAGTGCTCATTTCAGTAGCGCTTGCAGCATTTCGTGGGGCCCCCAAATAGGCTGAACAAGGCTTCTCTGGCAACTAACCCCAAGTACAGTGGGAAACTGTTAAAGTGGCAGTGCCACTGCCTGGAAAAGAGATTCACTTTTCTCCCAGCCTTTATCCCTGCTTTTTTACTTCATTTTTTTTTTTTTTTTTTAATAAAGACTGTGAACTACATTAGGAATTTCACTGAATATTGCAGAAAAAAACCCCAAAAACCTAACTGAAAATGTGCACTTAGAAGTGATTTTTTTTTTTCTTGGAGTTTTAACCAGACTGTCAGTCTGTCCTTCCCAAAGTGTGTGGGCTTTATGGAGAAAAATAAGACCCTTGCAGCTTTTCCCAAGTAATGCTCCAAAGTCAGTCGTGCTGCAGCCTGTCGGGGAGAACTCGTTCTCCGCTTAAATCAGTTTATTTTCAGAACGATTTGCTGCACTTACACTTTCTGTTGTGATTGCTCTTCCAGAATGCAAACACAACCTGGAGAGTTTTCTGCATTTAATTGAACGTGTCAGGTGGTTAAAATCATGTTTTTAAAACAGTATGACATCCTGCAAATGTGTAAACCCCTTTGTTCACATCTGTTTAAAACAAATGCATTTTCCGGTATTTATTTATTTATTTCCTCTCTGTTTACACTCCCCACGGATCGTGAAGATAAACCAGTGAGTTTCGTTTTCTGCTGAAAAATTGCCTTTTGCATTTTCAGGTTCTCACACACTGGCGAGATGCTACAGCCCCCACGTGACAGAGGTCAGAGGGAAGCACTTATTTGAAGAAATCGTTGTCACTATCTGTATTGTAAGTTTTAAAAAAGGTTCAGTTTTGTAAAATGCAAGTTCTGGATTAATTGTTCCTCTGAAAGCCTTTATAGTCTGCATAGTGAATCCCCTGCCTGCCTCTACTCAGGTGTCCAACAGAAGATATGGGTAAAACACATCTTCAGAGATCTTTAAATCAGTTGTATCTATTTTTAACTTCTGTTTGCTAAAACGTGGTTGTTTACCATAACTTGCATGCGGAGAAATGTATCCAAACACGCACAATTTGAAGGCTAGACAACAGGCAAACACATCCCCCCCGCCAGGACACACACACACACGTTCCCATGTGTTCACCTCCCACCTGTAGAGCCTTCCCAAAGCAGTGTGGACAAGTTGGAGACCCTTGGTCCTTATCCAGGCACAGATAACAAACCAAAAGGATGCTTCAGAGAAGCAGGGAAGATGTTGAGGGGTTCTTTCTCCTTGGCCAGAGTAAATTTGGAAGCTATGGGGAGACACCAAGATCAGGCTGGGGAACCAGGCTTTGAGGGCATGGAATCTGTGGAAGACCATCCGTCATTGACCTTCTGATGTCCTCTGTCTTGTTCCCAAGACAGCCCACACACCCTCAAGCCTTGGCTGGATGGGGGAGATCTCGACCACAGCCAGGACCTCGGACATTAAAGGCTTTGAAAAAGCAACAGTCCCAGTTTAAACCCAACCTCCCACGTTACCAGCAGGTAACAAGACCCAGAGGGTAAACAAACCCCTCTTTCTGAGTGCCTTGCACCAGAGAAACACTCCCAACAGTGGGAATGAGGGTGGATATTTGCGCTAAGTGAGCTGTGCTGCTGTTGAAAGACCTGCAAGAATGGACAGGTTCCTCTGACTGTTAATTCTTCTTATTCCACACAGGTTTTTTCCCTCTATACCGAAAACGAGGTAGGGGAAAAATTGCAGGGAAAAATTTCCCTTAGAAGCCTGTAAAGTTTAGTGGGATTGGGCCTGATCTGGCTCCTTGAACTTCAGTGGGGTCTGGTGCTGGGTTTCCCCCTAAAGCCAGAGAGAACAATCCCACTGCTTCGAAATTACCCAGTGGCATTTAGCATTGTCCCCAAGGAAGCTGCTTCCCAGCTCTTCCGGTGGGTTCCCAGTCCCATCTCCAGTGAGGGCTACCAACTGCAGGGCTTCTTATTGGCTACAACATTGATCACTTTTTCCTCCTTCAGTGCCAACACCAAAACCTCCCTACCCAGCCTTACTGTGCAGAACAGAGGCTGAACGCTCCATTTTTGATCCCTGCCTGCCCCCCCGGCGGGGAGAGGTCCATAAAGGTAAAAAAAAATGTATTTATCCAAGTAGAGTCTGGACCTTGGCAAGAATTTAGGGCTCTGAGACTCTCTGCGGGTACCCTGCATGGAGGTGCCACCGGGTCCAGCTCTGCTCCCACCTTCCTGCTTCCAGCCCGGGTCCCATCCCACCCCCGGGAGCCTCTCCCCCCGTGCCCACACTCCGGTCCCTCACGCGTTATGATAACACATAAGCAGCTTAGAGAATTCTTATCGGAATAAGTTGAGCACAATGCAACGTTTAACTCTTAATGACAGCCACCCCTGACTGGGAGTGACATGTTATAAATTATGTTTGAACTGGATTTATTTTTTTTTTCTTTTTTTTTCCTTTTTTTTTCTTTTTTTTTTTCTTTTTTTTTCTTTTTTCAGAGGCTGATATTCCCTCTGCCACCCGGCCAGCCCTGCAACCTCGCGCTTGTGGCCTTAATCCCACTTGGATGCGTGCCCCCGCTGCCTCCACTCGCTGTCACTCGGGCACTTTAGTCTCCTTGAACAAGTGAACAATCTTTGTTTCTGTACCTTATTAGGGCCGAGCCCGCCGCAGCTCGCGAT